AATCGGAGTTGGTGCGTTCGCCGTCGACAATTGCCCATTGTTTGAGTACTAACCGTCCTAAGAGCGTGTCAAAAATGAATGTTCTTCGCATACTGGACATGTTTGACCCTGGGATTAGTCACCGCCTTGATGGACCGAATATCGATAGGCCCTTTAATGCTCTTACACTGACGCCGGATTATCATCGACTGTTTGCTGAATTTCAAATTTATTTCGAACCGACAGGGAGGCCGCTTGAGTATAAGATCGATTCGCTTGAAAAAAGTCCCTTCCTGCGCTATCCGCTCTTCTCCGTTACTCGTACGCTGAGCCTTAGTCCCAAGCAAACGATTGACCCGCCGGATCCCAGACTCCTCCGTGTCCACTGTGCCATTGCACATATTATGAAACTCAGCGGGGCGGGTGATTATATGGAGAAAGTCCTTCGCGACATGCAGGAAGTGGACGTTAAAGCAGATGGCTCGACAAATTTGGGTTATATGATGGGGTTGCGACTCAACGGCTGGTTGAACACTTTGTCTGTTTTTTAAACCACTTGCATTTCGTTCGTTACTACTGATATATATCGAAGATGCGCTAAGATACCAATACACATGCTAAAACAAGAAGAGCAATCTTTAGCTATCTTTAAATGAAGATGCTGCACAATACATGCTATGGCTTTTCTATTGTGAGACCTGCGTGTCTGAAATGCCCTCTAGCACTCTGTTCTTTTGCACCGACCCTGTTCACACACCATTCAAGGAAGGAAGCAAACCCTTGATCGCGGTGATTTTCATACGTCTGCCAATGTCGTCGAATGAATCCTTTTAACTCGGCAAAGAACTCTTCAATAGGATTCAGATCTGGCGAATAGGGTGGCAAGTATATCACTTTGACTCCCTTTTTTGAGCACATATCCTGTATCCGTGTAGAGCGATGAAAAGAGGCGTTATTTATGACAATAATCGACTTAGCAGCTGGGTATGGTTGACAATGCTGGAGAAGTTCCTCAATGAAATCCTCAAACCACGAGCCATCAGTTGAGCCCTGGAACACTCGAGAAAGGAGAATGCCATCCTGAGTGTACGCCGGAAGTATCTGGTACCGCTGACCGCGATGGAATTTAGACACCTGGACTGGGGTTATACCAAGAGGGGACCAGCCTGTTCTCCTAAAGCCTATCCGTTTATCACATCCGGATTCATCCACAAAGATAAGCTGATATGAACAAAACTCCGCAATATCATGAAAATACTCATCACGCAAATTGCCATTTCGTTCTCTTGCTTTTTGCCGTGCTGCCTTCTTCAACCATCCTTTGCGATGAAGCGCATCGCTAATAGTAGACTGTGGTACATGCAGTCCGAACTTGTCTAGCAAAAAGACCTGCATCTCATGAAGGTATAAACCTGGTTCTTCCAATAAATGATCTTATCTCCGTTGTAAGGCTTCGTGGGCGTCCACTTTTGACTGGTGGTGCTCTAACACTACCAAACATGCGAAGATTAGAGCGAATAGCAATAATTGTAGGCTTGCTGCAGCCGGCATTTGCAGCCATTTGGGACAAAGAGAGTTCTCCATCAATAATCATATCGTGGATTAGATCAAGCGTAGATTGAGGTAAATTAGGTGCCATTGGTCATGACCATGGGACAGTTCCTGCATGAACCTGGACGATATGACGGTGGGGCATTGGGGTGGTAGCGGGGATATACGCAACATCAGTAATATATGTTACAGGGTCTGGAGCATTAAGTGTTGAGAAACAATGAAAGAATATGGGGTGGTAAAGCCGGTTTCCGGAAAGTCTGTATAAGGTCGCGATAGTCTTTTATGTGTCTTCGAACTTGTTTTTCTATCTGCCTGAGACGGTAGTTGGGCACATCTGCTGTGGTACTAGCAGCAAATGCCTTCTGATCAACTGCGTTAGTCTTGCTTGGATCTGAGAACCCTGAGGGGTGAGTAGTAGCCTGAGTTGTCAGGCACCACTAGTCATGCTGCGCTCTGAGAACGATCCCTGCCTCGGGCATCAACAGTCGTGATAACCTCAAATAGTAGATCCATCAACACCATCAACAACAAGCTCTGTATATCAAGATCATTCTGCTCTTCGCATCTGATTAAACTCACTAGGAACCTGACCTTCAAGTACGAACATGTTGCTACCCATCGCCCTCTTTGTGATGCTTCCAACATCCTTTGAATTCGATCCCTCTTTAGCTCTCCCTGATTCTCCCTACATTCCTTCCCCTGCCTACTCGCGTCACTTTCAGGATCCCAGCCGGGTCAAAATGCTTCAAACACGCGAAAATTTCTTCATCCAGAAGGGATCACTTAGAAATTCCATCAGGGGCTGATAAGCAATGCCATTGACGTCATTTTCCTCGAGGGGCAGCATGCATTACTTGTCCCCTTCACTGAAGTAACAAAATTCGAGCGAGGAGAGCGATTTGAATACCTGAACAGGAGGCTGGATCAGCTTCCTAAGCATACCTACATATATCAAGGATGGATCTCTCATCTACCTACCTTGTCTGCTGGAAACAATGCCGCATCCAGTTTCCTTCTCGAAGAGAGCCATTGTGTTAGCTCCTTCCTTAGCGGCTGTTTGACTGCCAAATCAGGGAAGTGACTTTGGGCTCTTTCCAAGCTGTGTACTTCCTGTTTTATTTTGATAGCCTCAAAGTGAATCACTGGGGAGTCTTCCATCCTTTCTTTTCTTCCTTCTCTCCTCCCACTTATTTCAATCCCACCGATATATTCTCCCAGTCTGCAGTAATTAAAACAACAGGACCATCTGTGAGCATAATCTATCAAACGGGTTCCATCTGCAGAAGGCATTCAGTATGCTTCGCTTCTCGCTTTCTCTGTCCGCGGTCTCGTTGCTGTTGGGAGGCTTCTCCCCTGCGGCTGTTGATGCCGTTCGGACAATTTCAGCTGTTGGTTCCCGGTTCTTTTACGAAGACGGTACCCAGTACTTCTTGAAAGGTGCGAGTTCATATTCCCCTCAATCTTTCACCAATTTCACTGACAGGAAATACCCCTATTACAGGTATCGCGTATCAGCTCGTTCCTGATGATCCACTCATCGACACGGAACAATGCACTCGCGACGTTGCTCTCATGGCCGAGCTGGGGACCAACGCCATCCGTGTCTACCATGTCGATCCCCATGCCAATCATGACGGCTGCATGAAAGCTCTGGCAGATGCTGGCATCTACCTGTTCGTTGATCTTGACACTTTTGACACGCAGATCGAGCAGGTCAGTTCTCCTTGCGGCATACATATTTAGCCACAGGCTGATCGCTGACTGACTCGAGCAAATAGACTGGTCCTCACTGGAATGAAACCCAGTTTGACCGGTTCAAGCAGGTCTTGGACGAGTTTCAGAAGTATGAGAATACCGCGGGTGTCTTCGTTGGAAATGAGGTCCTCACCACAAAAGAGGGCTCAGCCGCTGCTCCCTACGTGCTGGCTGCCGCTCGAGATATCAAAGCCTACCGTGATGCACAGAACTACCGAAACATTCCTGTGGGTTACTCTGCAGCGGATATTGCGGAGCTACGTCCCATGTTGCAGAATTATCTGGCTTGCGCGAAAGATCCTAATGATCGCCTGGACTTCTTCGCACTGAATGCCTACGAATGGTGTGGAGTTTCCGGGTACGTTCAGTCTGGCTATCGAGAGCTTCAAAAAAACGCAAGTGGCTATCCGATCCCGATCTTTTTCTCCGAGACTGGCTGCAACGCCGCACGGCCTAGAACCTTTGATGACCAAGCTGCCATTTTCGGCGAGTATATGTCGGATACCTGGTCCGGCTCTATGATCTACGAGTGGATCCAGGAGGTCAACGACTACGGTTTGGTCAGTTACGGTCCTCCTGCGCCAAATGCTCCTCCGACAGACACTCTTGTTTATGATGGCTTCACTCGCAAAGGTGTCCCGACGCCCGTGTCTCCTGATTTCCACAACCTCAAGACCCAATGGGCTACACTGTCACCCACTGGCGTCGCCTTGTCTGACTATATTCAATCCACCTCTACTATCAGGCCCCCGGAGTGCCCTTCCTACACATCTGGGGCATGGGAGGTCGACCCAAGCTCTCCGCTGCCCACACTGGGCCAGACGCAGACGAAATCCAGCTCAGAATACCAGGTCACTAATGTTAGTGGTTCTGGAAACCGGCCAGTCAACAGCGCCACAGCTACCACGTCGACATCCTCAGCCCCGACACAGCTGCTCCACACCGGCGCTGCCAGTCCCCTTTCTCTTCCACGGATCGCTGGGCCGAATTATGTTGCGAGCGCATCTTTGTTAGTTGGATTTGTGATCGGTATGGTTGCTGTGTGGCTATGACATTATGACTACGAAAGGTGTTTGAGACCTTGATTGTGCCTATTCCCTTATTGTCATGTCTTTCTTTTCGCATGTGGTCATTTGCTGTCTAGCCTAGCCGCCTGGTCGCAGTCATCATACATTACTTTGTATCAACATGAGCGCAGGTCAGCCATGTCGGTAATAAAATGAATTTCGGCTTCCGTTCGTTCATGGTCACCCATACATTTGTCAATCTCTCTCATTCCACTCCAGCTATCGGAACATCGTAGTACCTGGCGAAGGAAGGACAGTTAAAACGCTCTAATTCAGTATAGTTACAGAGAAAGTCATAATATTCCAAGTCATAAACATTGACACTCGTCCATCTCAGACGCCGGGACCGACTAAGAACGCGTTCGGGGCAGACACATGTGACCCAAATCAAGCACCGCTCTAGCAGCAAGAACTAAGAAGTAATGATCTCGTGGTATACAAGAAATGACCTCCGGAGAATCACTGCTTCAAGAAGATGAAGACGCAAAGAAAAAAGGGATAAGAACAAGTCCGCACAGCCTACAAGGCAAAACCCTAGTCGGACGGAGGTAGTGTCAGGAGAACAATGGGGCGCGAGAAGTAGATGCCTTGAGCTGCAATAGGCTATAAAGAATTGATGAAGGACGGCTGGGCATGAAGGCTTTATCAATTAGTGATTGCAATTCCGTAGCCTAGAATAGAATCCCGGGAGGGAACCGGTCTCAAGGGTCCGTCTGGTGGCAACGGCCAGGGGACCCTGAGTGATGAAGAGGAAGGGGCGTATTCGCTGCTTTCCTGGTCGGAGTCGTCGTCGCTGTACGTGTCTGCCCAGTGGGTGTAACCGGCATAGCTGGCTACTGATTGAGATGGGGAAGGATGTCGCGAGACGGCGGGTGATCGTGCCGGGTGACCAGGGGAGTCGGTTACTTGTTCCGGTGGTTGGGGAGGGTATGGTGTGACAGTGAGTTTGGGGTGGGTTGAGCCGGGGGCCGAAGTCTCCGACTTTGAGCATTCCTGCTGCAGCATGGCCTCCCTTTTGGATGCTTCAGTGGCGTGCAGGTGCAACTTGGATGTGCAGTGCAGAGCAACCGAGTCGTCTACCTGGCGCAGGGCGGCGACGAAGCGGCTTTCCACACGTGTAGCTGAGGGCCGGTTGCCCGGTTCCTTGTTCAGCATGCTTCGCACTACGGCGAGCATTGGCCCGACGGCGAGGAAGACGGGATCCTTCCGTTTCCTCGCGTCGTGTTCCAGCAGGGCGATCCACGAACTTACCTGGCCGATATTCCGGTCGAGATGGAACGAGCAGTCCGCGGCGCCTCCTCCGCGGCCGGGGGTCCTGTTCTTTGCACCCCGGTGGTGCGCAAAGGCGGTAATCTTACGCTTGCAAAGGTGCGTGAAGATGTCAAGGATTACGGCTCCGAGAGAGAATATGTCCGATGCCTGTGGGTCTGTCTGTCGTGACTGCCAAGTCTGCACCACGGCGGTTTTTAATCGGGTGCCAGGGAGTTGGGCGGGGTCGAGGACCGTAGAAGCGGAGTGACCCGAGGAGCCGGAGGAGTTAGACGAGTTGATGGATGGAGTGTATAAGATAGGCCGCTTGACTGAGGTGACAACACGCTTGCGAGCACTTCCGGTGGACCCGGAGGACGATGAAGACAGCGCGAAAGAGAATCGCGTCGGCGAATCGGGCAGCCCTCCAACGCGAATGGCGGTGCCGTGGGAGGTGACAGACTCAGCTCGTGGCCTCAGCGAACTGTCCACCGCGTCATCAGAGCCCGAGCCTCTCGAGAACAGATTCAGTCTTCCAGGGCGGGATGATGGTTGCCGTCGACCCGTGCGACCACCAGATGGAAGAGCTGTTCGAGACGGGCCGGTATCCTGAACGGCAGCCGCACGTACCCAGCGCTCTGGGGCTCCATACTGATACGACTCGACATCGTCTATTTTGACAAGAGGCAGCAACGTATCGAGCGCCTCAAGCTGGCCGAGGAAGATATGGTATTCCGAGTCAATCAGGATATTCGACGGCCGAATGGCGCCATGGACTTGGTTGTGAGCATGCAACCATGACAGCCCATCAACTAGACAGTGCGGCCAGTTGATCAGGATCTCGCGGCGCCGATTCTTGGGCAGGCGTTTGAAAGGTTGAGGTACATCGGTGAGAAAGGACATCAGGGTACGATCGTATATACCGGAAAACAGAATGCACATGGTATCATCAACAACGTAAGAAGCGTAAATGGAAAAGACATGATCGTGAGATAATCGTCGCAAGGAGCGAATCTCGTCCAGAACCTCCTCTTCTTCAAAGAAATGCGGCGCGCCTCCGACGGTGACCTGCATCCGCAAATACACCCGGCAGACCGCGCCAGCCAGAACGACTTTCTCGACCCCTTCTCGTGCAAGCGCCGGCTCGTTGCGTATCAATTCGACAGGAACACCTTCATTCTCGGTATACTTGATATGATCACCTTGATTGATCCCTCGGACGAGGAAACGCCACTGGGCATGGAAGAACTTGGCATCTAGTGCCGGATTCTCGTCATCAAGGGAGAGTTTCAGACGATCGACGCCGTGGGCTGCAATTGGCAAGTCTGCGTCATCGAATGACTTGTCGACCAGGGAGAAGATACGCTCAGGGATGCCGATGTCGACTAGGATCAAAAAGAGTCTGCCGGCCTTGTGGAGGATCCAGTCGAGATACGTCTCACTGGTAAGACCCTCTCCCCAGGGTAAGGGGGCCACAAGACGGGGCCAAAGATCGGACGGAAGATGGCCAAAGACATACTCTGGACAGAGAGTGGCTTGGATTCGATCTTCAGGCCACCAAAGGGACGTTGTTACCGGCATGGTGGGCGCATGGCGAACCAAGCCGGCCAGGAAAAGAGTTCCCTCTGACGGGACGGGTATTGATATACGATCAGAGGTATGGTGGTATCACCAGGAATAGAGGAAGTCGAGACTGTTAGAATGATTACATGTAACACAACTCCGCAGTCATGCAATAATGATTCCCCTGGCAGGCGTCAGCGGAATTCTCAGCATCCTGTCATATTACAGGGGATAGTGAATGAGGGGGATGGTAAAATCGTGGAATAAATGCTCTCTAGAAAGAGATACCGGGGAAATGCAGTTAAAGGACCCACGGAACGGGAACAATAACCTACTGGTCGACACGAGGCTTATCTTGCACTCAGCAAGGAGTACGCCAGGGCATTATTGAGAGGCGTCGTCAATAGCGGCAAATCATGCTCAAGACTGACCATGGAGGAGAGGAAATGAACAAGACAAATGAGGAACAAGAGGTAAGTAGAGGAAAATTTGTGGGATGAGGTACTTGGTGGCTGACGATGTTCAGGGAGCGCCATGATTGAGAGCAATAGAACGAGAGAACAATCGCCAAAATGCAAAAAAGCTAATGTAGGCTATATAGTGGTTTTCCAGACTTCGAACGAATGGCAATGGTGGAGCCTGGGGGGAGAGATAACAATCCGACAACCATAGGTGAGGGAGTTTGTACTTTGTGGTACGGTGGGGAACTCCGGAGAATGATTCAAATGAGCCAGGGGCCCAGGGCTATAGCCGAATGAATATAACAGGGGATGTATATTAAAAGGATTCGATGAAGAAGATGATGAGGAGAGGTCTCAAGTTGATGGATAATAAATGAAGGATGGTGGAGAATGGGAAGCGAAGGTGATACCAGGCAACGTGATTAGTTGATGCCTGAAATACGCCTCAGGAAGGATTCAAGGACCACTGTCATCACTCTCTACGTCAGGATTCCTGTATCTGTCCATAGTCAGTATCCAGTATGTCCGAGCCTTTGGAACTCAGTAACACAGTCGGCGACTATGAAGCTGAATGGTCTAATTTGGAGTACACCAGAAGTGTATATGCTCACACAGGATGCTGTGGTGATAACATTGAACTCTCCCAACAACAGCTCAGTGCGAAAAACAAGCAGTGGGAGAAGCAACAGCTACCTAGGGTTCTTATCAGTTGGTCAGAGATATTAATTGGCCCGAGGTCCATCCAAGGGAACAGATAAACCTGGATGATGTCAACAGCTCTTCGAGTCGTTTCGTTTACATTGATTCACCAACACTGCCAGTCTGCCACAGTATCGATGACGATTGCATTCTTTGAACCGTCTATGTACGAATTCTCGATATTGTTTGCTTTTGTCGATCCTCCAGACTCAAGAATCGATCCTGATGATCTCTTGCATACGGAGCATTATTACCCACCCTATCTCCTCGAAACGGCGCCGACCACATGGACTGTGGATATCATCGTTATCACCAATTCACCATCATCATTACCTTATTATTAATGTAGCGCCGAACTCCAGTTGGCCAATAGCCCGAGGAGATTGAGAAGTGGAGTGATATCGACCGTTGGAACCCACTGGTCGATGTTTCTACTTATCGGTCCTTTTATTCTCTAGTTCAGTAGTCTAGTGGGAAACTAGAGTCATTTACCCACTTTGTCAAATTGACCCCCCCGAACACCCTATTAAACCATAAAAATATATATTAAAACTACCGATTTGACAGTGTCACAGGATGTCTAAAATATAATAGAATTTATTAGTAAAACCTGACATAAAATGACAAATTAGATATACTAGTAATCTGAATTATTCTTAATTTCTTCTAGTAGGTTCTACTTCTAGTGCTTTACTGCGCATGAAGGGGTCAATTTGACAAAGTAGGTAAATGACTCTAGTTGAAGTTTGATATCAAGCCATTGCAAAGACAGCATTATCTTTCTATTGTGCCGCATTATCTTGTGTGGAAAGAGGCAAGAGGATAAGCTGGGACAAGCAGGTAAAAGACAGGCTTGAGATACTCCTGTCATATCATATCCATTCCCTAGACTGGCAAACACACTCTCTGTTCATTTTCACCCATAGACCTCCATGGCAACTCCTCACGAACAAAAACAAATTGATATGAATTAATAGATCCATCATCCAACCTACATGTAGTTCATTCCCCTCTCCCCTTATCACTCCTGCTTCCCCTCAACGCCCCCAACCCACTGCGACTCCGAGTCCGACCTCGCTGTTCCTCCCCTGCCCGCCGACTCCTCCAGGCCTTCCGGAAATGCCCCTGCTCATCCCCAGACTGCTTCGCCCGGTGGCTGAGGAACTCCTCGTGCGCTTCTTTCTCTTCTAGAAGGATCTTAATCTGGTCATAATTACCCGGTGAAACCATCACCAACCCGTTAGTCATCCACACCATGCCTCGATCTTGTCGGTAAGAAAAGAAAGACAGAAAAATGGGGGCGGTGGTTGTTTACAACAGTATCAGACGTCAATTGGTAACCCACATATTCCAACCACAGCTCCTGCTCCGAACTCCACGCCTTCTGACACCGCGCTAGCTCGTGCTCGGCGATCGCGAGCTCGCGCTCCTGCGATGAGGACCACCGCGAGCGGTCGTGCGCGATGCCCTTGAAGCTAACGATGCGGACGAGGCGTTTCCGGTTACCGTTACGGGGATGGTTACTGCTCCCTGCGTCTGCTTCTGCGTCTGCATCTGCATCTGCGGGTTGCGCGCTCACCGCCAGATCAGGGCTGAAAACGCTGGAGGCGTCGGTGTCGGTGCTGGTGTTGGTGTCGGTGCTGGTGTCGCTGCCGGAGAAAGTATCCTCGTCGTAGTCGTCCATTCCCGTCTCTTTGCAGAGAGGGCCGAGTCCGTGGTCCGAGCATTCGCTGTTGGGTAGGGGGAGGGAGGGCACAGCGGAATGGCTGTGATCGACTGCTTTGCCCTTTTGGTGGAATGAGCGCTCGGCTTTCTTGAGCAGGAACGTCAGGCGCAAGACGCATTTGACGGTGTGTCCCATGCCCATCTTGGTAGCCATGTGGATTGAATGTGCAATGGGAATGGAATGAATGAGGTAAGAGGTCAATGATGACTAGGTAATATACGGAGTAACTATGTGCTTACCTCTCTCTATTTATACCCATACTAATCTCTTTCTCTCCCAGGGCGATCCAGAAAACCAAAAGAAAATACTGCTTCGAATCGTCCTCGATAACCGTAATGGCTATACCTCAGCCATTGAGAGGCCATCACTCATCCTATACTGCACAATAAGTCACATCCAAAACAAGTCAGGCCTCACACTGACGCATTGTATTACCAGTCTACAGTAGGCTAGCCAGCTTCCTCCGCGCTCTGTTTGGCTGCTCTCCCCAGACCTGCAGCCTAGTCGGAACCCCAATGCGACGGCTCGCCAATCACGAATACCACAACCTCGTCGTGTCGGTCTAGATCTTTACAGTCACCGTGCTCTACTCTCTTTACGGCCATGCCAGCTCAGGTGCAGGCGCTGCATAGCGTGGCAGGCTCACAGCAACGGATTCGCCGCTCAAACAAGGAACAGGTCACGATACCTGGGCCCCGTCCCCATTTAAACCGACACCAGAAGCATCATCGAAGTTGCCAGAAGTTCTTTTCAGGTACGATCCAAGAGACCAACTCCATAACCATTGGCCACCTGAGCCATTCTACCACGCATAACACCAGGAGAGACGTTCTGCCAACTAGAACAGATACAGGTAGGTTCTGAGCGGCCCCACAAGACAATGGAATAGAAGCAAAAGAAAAGTAAAGTCGAGTCGAGTCATATACACATCGTGTCCAATGATATCGTGCAATAAAATAGACACCAAACATATTGGCAAAGAAGACCCACCAATGTACTCCACGAGCAGCTGACTTCATCAACGCCCAATCAAGTCCAATCTTCATGAAAAACCAAACAAAAGGGGAATAGTACGTCAATCATTATGAGATATCACAATGACAAACCAAAAGAAAAACCATGTTTGCAAACCCAACTGGCGGCGCATGCAATCATTGGTCCACCGGATCCGTAATGGCCCGACAATGTGTAAACCAAAACAGATCAAACTTCAAGAACTTTATTGCACAGGAACCAAAAGAGAGGGCCAAAATCAGAGACGATGATCAAAGTCGAGTGTGATGGACAGTCGGTCATCGACGAAACGCCGTGAGAGCGGCTCCTCTATCTCCTATCTGCTGAGCTGACGCTTTGTCGCCCGTCTCTGCCTTCTTTTCCTCTCTGATCCGCTCGCCAATGATCACACTGATCAGTCTTCTGTGCATATCTGCTTCTTTCCAGCCAATCTGGCCCGTCCCACCCGCCTGCAGGTCGCCACGAGCCAGCTCTTGCACAAATCGGTCAATGATTGCAAACTGGGTCTCAGTAACATGCACCCCATGCTCACCGTCCGATGTCCAAATCCAATCACCAATGATGTCAGAGCGGCCAGGTGCTGGGTAGTAAGGAAACCGTTCCGGATGACGTTTTGCCAATCGATAAAGCCGTCGCAGGAGAACGTAGTGATTGTCTGTGAAATATCCCGAGACGGAGAGTGGAAAGTGAGGTTCGTAGGTCTCGACCCTGACTTCTTCGACGGATCGGCCGGCGCTTGACGTAGGCGAGTCCGGCTGCGCGTTGTTCTGCTCTGGGGACTGCAGACCCTGCCTTGGTGTTTCATCCGTCTCTTTGGGATACATTTGATCGTCGAAGAGCGTCTGTGCGTTGGCTGATCTGACGTCAGGCTCCTCTTCCGAGACTTCTTCAGAGCTAGGACTGGCTGGTCCAAACGACTTTCGAACTGGAGCTTTCAGCCAACCGGGTGTAAGACTCGTAATCTTCTGAAACCAGGTTGATGCCTGACCATCCCCACCGAAATGTCGATTTTGTGCAGGAGTAGTGCTATTTTCTTCGTAGGCGGAACGTTTGTCGCCTGGCGCGGTAACTGGAATATGCTCGTCCTCGATCTCCTCCGCCATCTGATCGGCACGTTGCATTTCGCTCTCGTGCCTTGTAGTAGGGTCGATCTGAAATGTGTCATCATCCGAAGCCCTGTTAGGGCTCGATTCTAGATAGATGCGTGAGCCTTGGTCGTCTTCGATTCCGTAATCTTCCGCATTCTCCTCCGGAGAATCGGGAGTTGATCGTTGCTGCTCCGGTGAATCTCCATTCGTACTTTTTTCAGGGCTGCTTTGACCGTAATAGCGACGAATGTGCCGAGGGGTTTCCTCCCCACGAAGCACCGTGGAGAGATCCACTTCCTGCTCGCGCAGTCTCTTGACGCGCGAATGGCCCAAAAACGGCACCTTAGCGTTGTCGTTCGTCCACGGCTTTGGAGAGAGGATTCCCCTAGGCTCGCTTGGCGCAGGGCTGCTTTCCGATGGGTTAGATTCTTGTCGCTCTTCGACGTCATCATTTTCCCTTCTGTACAACGTTGACGAGCGATGCGAAATGTTGCTATGGTCTCTCGCTTCTTGCTGCCAGATATCATCATAGCCCTCTTCGTCTTCCTCCTCGTAAACCTCTTCTGCCTGAGCGGCTTCCAAGTCATGCTGCGGCGATCCACCTGCATCGACGTCCTGGTCGGGTCTGTCTTCGTCATACTCTTCCCGTGCCTGATAATCCCCCCACTCTTGCCTATGGGAACCCCTTATATCAGCCTCCTCGTCTGATTGACTCCCCATTTGATTGCCGTTCGCATCGATCTCCGGACTCGGGGGCCCCGTCGTGTCACTGTCAACCACAATGACTTGACTGGCATTTGCCATTTGGATCTCTCGGCTCACGGCTTCCCTCTCCCGCTGCCATTCCTCCAGCCGCCGTTCCATTCCTGTACTCGGAGTGTCCTTCACAGCAGCTCCGCCCAGTCCCTGTTGAGGAGTTGTGGTTGTGCCTCTGGCATTGCCCGTCAATCGTGCTTCTACTGCTGCCCTTTGTCTCGCCCGTTCAATCTCTGTGTGTCTCCTCCTCTTTGCGAGCTCCTGTGCAAACCCCAAGCCTGCGCGCAGTTCTCGTCTCATCCTCGGGTGTAAGTCGCTGAACAACAGCTCTAAACGTCTTTTGGGTGCTTCTAGACTAGAAATTTGTTCTCTCAGATCCGGTGTACCCGGCGTGGGCACAGGTGCCCCCTCGTATGGACGCCGAAGGGTGCCTTCAAGGGCAACGCCTGCGCGGATAATTCGAGCCAGCCTTGCAAGCGGGTTCCTTTGCTTGGGAACAAAGGCTGGAACAGGCGACCCACGCAATAGAGGCACGGACGGTCTTTTCTCGGCGGATAGCGGCAAGGCTTGAGGCTCGGTCGCCTGCAATCTCAAATCCTTTTCCACCTCTACATCAGGCGAATCCTTCCTAGGATTTAGATTCAGGCTTGACACCTTGCGCTTCGACTTCTCCGTAGCCGCCAGCTTCTCTCGGGCTAGGAAAGGCTTCAGAGCACCGTTACCAGTCTGGGAGTTGATGCTCAGTCCGTGCTGTTTGACCGATGGTAGTGTATCCAATGAAACCATGCTAAAGCCTTCGCTTTCCATGATAGAATCAAACTCCCTATGTTCTTCTGTTGGATCAGTTGTAGGACGAGCCGTATTTTGTTCCTGGCCAGATTCTTCAGCACGGGCCCTAGATTCAACTTGGACCGCTCTGTCATCATCACCCAGCGACGAAGAGGTTGGACTTGGGTATGAGCGAGGCGGTCTGGGCGTATGACCAGCATGTAGTGTATTTTCTGGTGAGAATCCTTGGCTTTCTCGAGAGGGCGATGGCATTTTCGAGGGGGTCGACTGCGGTTCTTCATCATGGTTTTGTCCGTACACCTGATCCACTGCAGTCACATCTGGTGTATCATACGTTCGCTCATTAGGTATTCGGGGGGAGCTCCGATCCCAAGCGGTTGCATCGGGTTGCGCCATGTTGTTGTCTTCTGGAAAATTGTCGACGGGCATGAAACCCTCCGGCAAAGCGTCATCATCCGAGTCTGCGTCCCCAGCAAGGTTCAACGGACTCCACCGTTGTTCGCCCTCCCCTTCAGGCTCAACAGGCCGGGTGTCTTGATTATCCGCCGAATCAGCCACTTCCTTATCACTGTCTACCGTATCCGGATTGAGAGACTGTTTCCTTGGTCGACCTCGTTTTCTCTTCTGTCCACTTGCGCCTCCTGGGCCCGGTGTGTGTCCAGGACTGCCTGCTGTAGGCGTAGCATCCTGTTCCCGTATGTCCGACTTCCTTGGGCGCCCTCTGCGCCTTTTCGGCGTCTGTTCCGCATGATCTTCGGCATCCTTAAGAGGTATTTTGACTGTCGTAGCTGTCGACGGCCTCAGCCGCTTGCGCGCCGGGCTCCCTTGATTCATCTCCTCGTCTTGTGTTGCCTCAAGCGTCACTCGGATCCTCCACGGGCTCAGGTTTCCATCCGCTTGTGCTTTTTCCGGAGATAATGATCGCTGTCGACCATTCAACTGCCTAGTCGGGGACACAGGAAGCAGGACATCGTCGAATCGAATCGAGTGCGCGCTCTTGGCCGGACTAAGATTGATGCGCGACCGCTTTCCTTTGTCCGTTCGCGGGGTCTGAAGGAGCTTGAAATTGGCTGGCGACATGAAGCTCTGGCGACCGGCGAAAGGTCTGATCGGAGATGATATCAAATAATCGACGTCGCCAGGGGGCCCAAGAATGTCTGGAGAAGAGCTGGAACTTTGAGAGAACATTGCGCCATGCAACAAACAATGCGGTTCATGGGGAGGGGCGATCGTGCCGCAAATCGCGTCGCGCAGAAAAGCAATCTACAGAGGCTGTATTCCCGACACAACTATACAGAAATCATCATCATCAACAAACCAAATTAACTGTCATCATTCTGAACTTGACCCTAAGAGTTCGCATATCCAACATAAACAAGTCTCCCAATCAGGCAGGCCGAGGGTCCGAGCCGATCTAAGGCGAGGGGACGCGTCGGGGTTACATAATCAGGAAATATACTGTTCCGTTCCGAGTACGGTCAGCCATAGAGTCCACAGCTGCAGTAA